AAAGTTAAAGAAAGAAATTGCAGAAGACACTAGGAAATGGAAAGACCTCCCATGCTCCTGGATAGGCCGACTTAATATAGTAAAGATGGTGATACTTCCAAAATTAATATACAAATTCAATGCAATTCCTATTAAAATCCCAATGACGTACATCACTGAAATACAGAAAACAGTCCAAAAATTTATATGGAACAACAAAAGACCTAGAATAGCCAAAACAATTCTAGGGGATAAAGACAATATGGGAGGGCTATCCATGCCGAACTTCAAACTCTACTACAGAGCTATAATCACAAAGACAGCATGGTACTGGCACAAAAACAGACCCGAAGACCAATGGAACAGAATAGAAGATCCAGATATAAATCCACAGGCCTACAGCCAGCTGATATTCGACAAAGGAGCCAAAGACATACAATGGAAGAAACACAGCCTCTTCAACCGCTGGTGCTGGGAAAACTGGGCAGCCACATGCAGAAAACTAAAAGTGGACCCCAGCCTATCACCATGCACCAACATCAACTCAAAATGGATTAAAGACCTTAACATTAAACCTGAATCTCTGAAACTACTGCAGGACAGAGTAGGAGAGACACTTGAACTAATAGGCACAGGAAGGAACTTCCTGAACAGAGTCCCAGGGTCACAACAAGTTGGAGAGAGACTCGACAAATGGGACTACCTTAAAATAAAAAGCTTCTGCACAGCTAAATCTATCGCAACTAAGCTAGAAAGACAACCAACTAATTGGGAAAAAATATTTACCAGCAATATATCAGACAAGGGGTTAACATCCTGTATATACAGGGAACTCAAGAAACTAATCCCTCCCAAACCTAACAAACCAATTACTAAATGGGCAAGGGAACTAAAGAGGGACTTCTCAAATGAAGAAATAAAAATGGCAAAGAAACACATGAGGAAATGTTCATCATCCTTGGTGGTGAAGGAAATGCAAATAAAGACAACCCTGAGATACCACCTTACCCCAGTCAGAATGTCCCACATCCACAAATTAGCCAACGACAAATGCTGGAGGGGATGTGGAGAAAGAGGAACCCTATTACACTGCTGGTGGGAATGTACACTTATACAACCACTTTGGAAAGCAGTCTGGAGGGTCCTTAGAAAGCTAAAGATTGACCTCCCTTACGACCCAGTCATACCACTTCTAGGCATCTACCCTGAACAACAGGAACCAATATACAAGGACACGTGCACCTCCATGTTTATTGCAGCACTGTTCGCAATAGCTAGGATATGGAAACAACCTAGGTGCCCCACCACAGATGAATGGATCCAAAAATTGTGGTATCTATACACAATGGAATATTATGCAGCCATTAGAAATGACAAAATAATGGCATTTGCAGGGAAATGGATGGAGCTAGAAGGAATCATGTTGAGCGAGGTAAGCCAAGAACGAAGAGACAAACGGTACATGGTCTCCCTCATAAGTGGATGCTAAATCCAAAAGGTTAGTGATACGACAAAACTAACAGGACTTAAGAAACAAAGAACTCCCGCTCATCTGGTTGAACCACTACTAAATATCCTCATGCTGCTGATCACAAATATGGTATATAACATGTGAACACTGTTATATATTACAGACTGTGGTAGACAATTTGCTCCAGGGAAGTTAGAATGAACCTGTGACTTTGAAATTATGTAATCATTTAATCACAATCAAAAAAAAAAAAAAAAAAAAAAAAAAGAACCTCGGGGAAGGGAGGGAGGGAGGGGATGGTAGGGGGAAAACAATGGAGGGGGTAACAATGTTCAAGAGGAAGTGTACTCATAACCTCACTCATGTAACTGTGACCCTCTGTATAGTAGCTTTACAATAAAAAAAAAAAAAAAGAAAAAAAAAAAAAAAAAAAAAAAAAAGAAATCACATACTTTTCACGAAAACAATAGGACATATCCCTGGAGGGTATCTCAGGAATTGGCTTGTTCACCCATTGCAGGCACAGGGGTGTGAAATGTAAACTGATAAAGACTTTCTCTGAAAAAGAAGAGGAAAGCTCACAGGACTAATCAACATAAGGGAATATTCTCAGCCCCACTGGCCATAGAAATTATAAACCTAAAGAACAGTAAGATATTGTTGCCCACACATTGAAATTGGCAAAAATACATAAAGATTGAAAGCACCAGGCTTTGCAAAGATAAGTGATACCAAAAGCTCTCATGTTCCATCAAACTGTAGGGCACAGATATTCAGGATAATACATTATTGAACTTTTTCTGGGGATTGAACTAAGGTACTTATACTGGCTATGCAAATGCTTTACCATTTGAGTCTTGTGCCCAAACCAGAAAATTAGCTCCTCGTTAGAATAGTGCACTGTTGTTTATCCTGTACCATTGCACCTCTACCATTAGCTCCCCCTCCACAACAACAACAAAAAAGACACATGTATAAAGAGGCTTTCTTTTCCTGTAAAACGAAGGACTAAATCCAGGGCCTTGTGCATGCTAGTCAAGCATCCTGCCAGTGAGTCTTAGTCCTAGCTCCCACAATCAGGTATTTTGACAGAAGGAAACTGGAACCTTATGGGAGCTGGTAGCATCCATTTGTCAGCCTTATGCTTTCATGACGGAGAAGTGCATTCATCATTCACCTGTAAAATGAGGAAAGAGAAGGAAAAGAAATGTAGTAGGAATGAGCATTAAGAGGCATCCGTGTTGCTTTTTCCAATAAAACTTAATGTTTTCATTTTAATAGCTTTATTCTTATTTATCAAAATTCACTCCTATTGTTTTAGAAAAAAGGAAAGAACACTGAAAAATAATTGTAAATCACCTATAATCTTACCACCTAATAATCAGCATTGCAAATACCTTAATATGTACAATGTTTGCCAATGAAAGCCTTTCCTTTTTTTTTTTTTTTTTGTTGGTCATGGGGCCTGAACTCTTGGCCTGAGCGCTGTCTCTCAGCTATTCAGCTCAAGTCTAGTGCCCTACCACTTGAGCCACAGTGCCACTTCTGGCTTTTTCTGCTTATATGGTGCTGAAGAATCGAACCCTTGCCTGATGCATGCAAGGCAAGCACTCTACCACTGAGCCAACTTCCCAGCCCTAGCATTTACTTTTCTTTAACATTGATTTTTGTATGTTATACTTTATCTTAGAAATGTTTGCACCTAAGGAAAAATATCATCTTATTTCTTTTAAGGACTCAGTATTATACTGAATTATACTGTACTGCATGCCATAATGTATTTTAACCAAAGTACTCAAGTATGTCTCCATGCAACATGTTAGTGAGCTCATTATATATACATCTTTGAGCATTTGTCCAGTTGTTTCCTTGGCCTGTGATTTGAGGAGATTTCTCTAGATTAAAAGAATGCATACAAAACAGTACAGCATTTACTACTGGATCAATCCACTTTCTTCAGAGTTCTAACTAGAGGCAATATTTCTTCCTCTCCAGGAAATCTCAATGTGTGTGCTTAAGGGCTTCTGTTCATTAAGTGTAATTCATGTTAATTTTTTTCATAATGGCCTCCCTCAGGGTCTTCTTGAATTAATCTTTGTATCTTGAAAGATATTCTTCTGTTTCTTTAATTTTACTTCATGTTTTAAAATGGAAAGGTGAAATAATTCACATTAATCTATTTCTACAGAATCTGTGTCTTCAGATATTTTGCTTTTAGATGGTTATTAATCCACCAAACATCTCTTTCTCCTGCTGGGAACAGCACCTTTTTCCTTCTTTTTGGGGTGAGCTTCCAAGGGTTTGCCTAACGTAGGATTTGAGCATTCTTTGCTGCCTAGGTGAACTTTTGACTCACACTGAACTGATGGTACTTTCTCTCCCTGGACACAGTATTAGTTCGAATACATTTTAAAGCCCAAGTAAGACTATCAGAGAGGTGAGTTCAGAGCTGTGGGAAGCTGGGGGTGTAGCCAAGTGAGATGTCAGCCCAAGGAAAGAAGCCAGTTAACAGTAGAGGAACTGAGAGGCAGAGTAGACCTTTCCGGGGCTACCACTGGCTTTCTCCACCCTTCCTTTACCATCTCCAGCTTTCCCCACCCATCCCTCTTCTAGTCAGGTGGGCAACATCCAGTTTTTATTCATGTCCACTTTTTAAGGGAAGTTAAAACACTTGTAGTAAGCATGCTTTAATTGTGGTTACATGATTATGTGAGTTTGAGAATACTATTATTGTGCTCAATTTACAATCTGTGTTATCATCCTAAAGGTGTTAAGAAACATTCAAGTAATAGGAGCCAATTTTTCTTTAACCTACTAGTTCCAAACTGACTTTCACCAGAATAGTTCTTTATGGCATTTCTATTAATATTCACAGAAGCTTCATCAGGGAGTCATTGAGTTGGGAAATGCTAGACATATGGAAGGCTTAACTGCACGGTGAAAAATAAAAAGTGCTTTGATCTCTGAAATGTGTTTAACAAATATGGAAATAGAATCATTCATATGCAAACTCTGCATCATATTTTTTATTTGGGAAAGCCAAGTCTCTTTTGGGCAGAATAAGTTTCGAACTCAGGACCTCTTGTTTGCTAAGCAAGAGCTTACCACTGGGCGTACTTCTAACCCTTTTATACATGGCTATTTTTGAGATGGTGTCTTGCTTCCTGCCCAGGCTCATGCCCAGACCATGATCTTTCTGGTTTTGTTTCCTACCATAGCTAGGATATAACAGGCATATGCTAGCATATCCAGCCTCTTCCTCTGAAATGGAGGCTCACCAGTATTTTTTGCTTTGTCTAGCCTGAGCCTGTCAACTTCCTGATCTCAGTTCCCACATAGCTAGGATGACAGATAAATGCCACCATGTCCAGCTTTTGGATAAGAAAGGGTCTCATGTATGCCAGGGCTGACAATCCTCTTGATCTCAGCCTCCTGATTGGCTAGTATTGCAGGCATGAGCCACCGTTGCTGAAGAGTCTTTTGTCAAAGGCACAGCTAAATTTGATCCATTTGAGAAATCTGTAATTTTTTTCCATTTTTCCACAACCAGGTGAGCCAGTACACTTTTGCTATGTGCAGCTATAGAGAAAAGAAGTCTGAACCGCAAGAATTAATGCAGCTTGAAGGCTACACTGTGGATTACACAGATCCCCACTCAGGTAAGTGTAAGCAGAGCCACTTTCCTGGCAGGCATGGAGGCAGAAGGGCTACAGGAAACCTATGTCTTCTCTACTTTAAAGCTCTACTTGATGAGTGGAGGTGCATTTTTCACTCAGATGACTAGGCAGAACACGAACCTTCAAATTATGTCCTTTTGAGGTTATATTTAGTCATGATTTACCTTCTCTGATACTTTAGTACAGAAATGAAATACGTAAAGTGACTGAAATGGAAAAATTATATGAGAACATCAGCAATGTACTTCTATGTATAGATGGTAAATATGCCAGCACATGACATGTCAGAATACGCTATCATTTCTGTAAAGTGTGTTTATTTCGTCTGACAGAGTACCACTGTCTCATGGACTTTGTGTCCCTGAGAACAGGGATGGTTTCTAAGTTGATATAGAAGCTTCATCTGTACTCTGCTTTCCTTTCAAGTTATGGATGGTGGAATCTGTGCTGCTCTTTCCCTTCAAGTTTTGGATGGTGGGTTTGATCCTCAAGAACAAATTAACTAAGCAGCTATTTTCAAATCCATTGATATCCATGAGCCAGTTAGTAAGTCTAAAACTTGACAATTGTGCGCATATTAATACTTTTCTTTTTCCACAGGTCTTCAAGGAGGTCAGATGTTTTTCAATGCTGTTAAAGAAGGAGATACTGTAGTATTTGCCACTGATGATGAACAGGACAGAATATTATGGGTTCAAGCCATGTATCGTGCCACAGGTCAATCTTATAAACCAGTTCCTGCAGTCCAAACCCAGAAGCTAAATCCTAAAGGAGGAACTCTCCATGCAGATGCTCAGCTTTGTAAGTTGTGCTAAAAATAATTTGATTATCAATTAATAACCTTAATAAGATACAAAATTGAGACAAATTTATTTAGTGTTCTAGTTTACATCACTGATTCCTAATTAACTAAAATAGTTCCTATTCATTGTCATAGAATCAGTTATCTAATTTTTACATTCAGCTGGAGAAAAGGACACCTGTGTTTCTAATCATTGATGTGCCAAGCATTGGTATGTTCCTGGGAATCTCAAGAGACATAAGAAAATAATGCAAGACTTCTCAAGTGTTACTCAGTTTGCTGAAATTTCAGCTTACATGTCCTGTAGAAAAACGGCTCGTATTTCAAAATCAGACTTTTATTGATAGGATTCCAGCGCACCAGATGATGAAGAAATCATTTTGTACATTTGTTCTTAACAGTACCCAGTGATAATAGAGCTTTTTTCTGTTGTAGAATGATAGAGTATCATGAATGCCAAGATTCTTTTTCCAAAAGCCAAATGTCATTTTTTGAGTACTATTCTAAATCAAGACCTATATGTTTTCATTTTAATTTATTTCTTTTAATTTTTTAGAAAATAATACTTTTTTATTATAAAAATACTGTACAGAGAGGTTATGTTACATGAGCAAGGTCATGAGTACATTTCCTATCAAGCATTGTTACCTCCTCCTTTGTTTTTTCCCTCCCCTCCCTCCCCTCCCACCTCCCCAACTACATTCTCTTCTTCCCCCCTCCTCCACGCCCCCCTGCCTAAATTGTAAAGTTTGTTTTTTAACATAGTATCTTGTATATTTCATTGTTACAATGGGTCAATCAGTATCCCTATTTGAGCAATTTGTTTTTCCTTTCCCTTCCCAAGCTAGAGAAGTATATATACAAGATGCAGAGCACCGGCATCAAATACAGTGAAAACAGGGATTATACCATAGGGGAGGAACATACAAAGAAACAAAGCATCACATGGTACATTATAAATATGCAATGTGGAGGTTCCTCAAAAGACTTTACATAGAGTTCCACTATGACCCCCCCAGCAATCCCAATTTTGAGCATTTACCCAAATGATCACAAACAAGACCATACTGAAGGTACCATCACAATTATGTTTATTGCAGCATTATTTATCATAGCTAAGATATGGAATGAACCCAGATGAATAGATCAAGAAAATGTGATACACGCACACACACACACACACACACACACACACACACACACACACACACACACACACACACACACACACACACACAATGGAATTCTATACCTCCATTAGAAAGAATGGCATTGCCCCATTTGTTAGGAAATGGACAGACCTGGAGAAAAATATATTAAGTGAAGTAAGCCAGGCCCAAAGAAACATAGGTCCTATGTTTTCCCTTATTTGAAATAACTAGTACATGTCTGAGACAAGCAGAAAAGGTCAAAAGCTATGTACATATGACTAGATAAGATGATGTTAAGTGAAATGAACCCAAAGACAGGAACACAAGTGGCTTTTTCTTTCTTGCTATTGTTCATTTTAATTTCTTATTGATTAATTGTAAGTGTGTCATAGTGGAAAATACAGTTTCAAATGTAGCTTTAATAATTACTAAGCCAAATATCTTATCTTATTCTACTCCTTTGTAAAACTTCTCTGGTTCTCTCTGTAATAAATCAATTTGCCTTTATTTTTAGCCTCAATGCTTTCTTTTAATTGTCAAGATTCCTCTCTGGGTTAGCAACATCTTGACATGCATTACTTTCTTCCTTTACTTTTCATAAGCACTCTCTCTTCTTTTATTGACACACCCTTCAGTATCATAGCTGAGTATCTTAAAGGCTCTTTAGGCCAAATAAACAAAGGTGAATATAAGTTCTTTTTCATTATTTTCCCTTCAAAACTTCACACCATTTTCCTAGACTACCTTAATTCACCTGGAGCACATTTTTAAACTATTGTAAAAATTACTTAAGAATAATGAATATTAATTTTAATTGTGTATCAAAAATTATTATTCCTATGTTTGAATTAGTGCTATTGTCATCTTGAAAAGGGAAACAAAAGTTCATGATAGTATCTCTTCATTTCTGCCTAGTCCTACAAATAGGCTACAAAACAACAGTGAAGAATTTCTATACAGTTCAGTCTTAGATATCAATTCAGTCAAGATAGGACACTTCCCCTTCCCTCCTCTCCTTTCCTTATTCCCTGAGTAAACAGGTAATCTGGGAGGATTATATAAAATGTAATCCCTATAAAATCATTGAAAGTAGCATCTATGTCTTAAATGCTACCTGTCCATACCGGCCTAGAGTATATGGTTTATATTGCTCATAACCTTGAACTAGCCACAACGTGTGGTATTAAGGTTCAGGCTGTGTTCTCTCTCTCAAGTTGAAACACCTCTGCTTCCCTTACATCATGTTTAGCAGACTTTTGCACCTGGGTGCAGAATAACATGCTGAATGTTCTCAAGTAATACCACACAGTGAGGGGAACACTGGAAGGCTCATCTAGGTCTTTCTGACCCAGCCCAGCCCCAAGCATTGCTTCTCTACTTCTGTAAGTGTTGGTTGGATGTGTATCCATTGGCCATGAGTGCATGGGTACAAGACTCCATCAACACTCACCCAGAATTTTTTATCTCTCCATATCTTCATTTTAGTTTCTACCCTCTACCATAGCATAAAAGTAGTCATAGCTCTTACTCTAAGTCATTTTCCTCCCACTAGATGATTTATACTGTTCTTTCTTCTGATTTTATTCCTATGCAAAACTGCATATTTACAACTTTACTTTTTTTTCTGTCTCTGTAAGTCAGTCTCTCTTCCTTAGGTCAGGAACTATAATTCTATAGTGAAGCTCTTTGTCTTGCAAAGTAGTTTTGTTCATGGGGATTCTGTTTTAAATTCCCATCCATGTTTCACTGTGTGCATCTCTCTCATTCTCCTGATTGCTACATATTCTGTGCTATTCACATCTTTTTTTTCCTATTTACTCTTCCAGTGATAGATTACCTAGGTAATAGTTGTCCCAACTCTATTTATTCAGAACTGCTAAACTTTTGTACAATCTTCTCCACAGAGCAGTTTTTTCCTCTAGGTTAAGCCAATTTCAAAACTTTTCATTCTGGTTGGTGCTGCTGTTGAATCTTACTATACGTTCTAATGGCTGCCTATGTGGAAAAATATTCTCCTCTTCCTCATCTTTTTTCCAGTAGTGGAGCTTGAACTCAGGGCCTCAAGCTCTAACTTGGCTTTTTCACTTGTGGCTGGTGCTATACCATTCTTCTTCTAGCTTTTCAATGGTTAATTGGAGAAAGAAGTCTCAAGGATCCATCAGCTCTTCTTGGCTTTGCATTCATTTTCTTAGATCTTACTTTTGTGATTATCTAAGGTTAGTGGAGTGAGCCGTTGGCATCTAGCTGAGAAAAGCTGTTTTCATTTGTTTTTGCCAGTCTGGGAGTTAAACTCAGGGCCTAGGCCCTGTCCCTAAGCTTTTTTTTAAATCAAGACTTGCATTCTAGCAGTTAAGCCACAGCTTCTGTTTGTGATTGGTTAATTGGAGGTAAGTCTCATGGGATTTCCTGCCAAGACTGGCTTTGAACCATGATCCTCTGATCTTAGCCTCCTGAGTAGCTAGGATTAAAGGTATGAGCCAGCTGCAAAAGGGTGTCCTTATATGCTCATCTTAGGTGCTTATTTGTTTTTTTTTTTAATTTAATTTTTTTTTTTTTTTGTGAACATACTATACAGAGGGGTTACAATTACATGGGCAGGATAATGCATACATTTCTTATCAAGCATTGCAGCCTCCTCCTTTGTTTACCCTTCACATCCCTTCCCAGCCTCCCCCCCCCCACAATCCCACCCAATCCTCCCCCCCTCCCCGACCCCAAGTGCTTATTTGTTATCTGATTATCATTTATCTGCTTTGTTAGCTCTCTTCAAATATTTTGCCTATTTTATAACTAGGTTCTTTTGTTCTTTCCCCCTCCTCCCTCTTCCTTCCTTCCTTCCTTCCTTCCTTCCTTCCTTCCTTCCTTCCTTCCTTCCTTCCTTCCTTCCTTCCTTCCTTCCTTTCTTTTTTCTTCAATAATAGCTCATGCTTTTGCCAGTCTTGTATCAAACTATAATCTTACTGTCTTCACTTCCCAAGTACCTGGGATTATAGGTGTGTGCTACCATGCCTAGCCTGTAACAATTTTTTTCTTATTATAATATAGTTTTGAGAGTTCCTTAAAGGCTCAATATTTATCAGATACATAATTGGCAAATATTTTCAGTTCATTTGTGCTTGTCTTTTCATATCTCTTAATATCATCTTTCAAAAGAAGAAATTCTTAATTTTGCCAAGGTTCATCTGTTTATTTGTTCTTATTTGCTTTTGTTTATGTATTATGAGTCATGATGGCCTCAAACTCACAATTCTCCTGCCTTATCCTCCTACATGTTAAGATTATGGACATCTTGCTTCTATTTTCTTTAAGCAGATATACTTTTGGTGTTATTATTAAGAACTCTTTGCCTAACATAGAATCACAAAGGTTTTCTCCTGTACTGTCTTCTGGAACTATTTGTTTTAACTTTTACATTGTATACCTATTTGGAGTTAACCTTTCTTCACGTTGACGTGTACATCATTGCTTCTGGGTCTCAGATGGATACTCATGAATTGGAAAGGTTATTACCCACTTAGTTGGCTTTGTGCATTCGCCAAAATCAACTGACAATGAGTTTACTTTTGATCAAGTTGTTTATCTTGGTATTGTCTCAATTATGGAAGCTTTGTAACTCTTAGAATTGGGGGTGTAAGCCCTCCAAGTTGAGTCTTTTTTGAAGATGTCCTGCCTATTTTGCCCTTTGCATTTCTTTCTTGTATAGTTTGCTTTGTGAACAATTCCTTGTGACTTTTCATATATTATAGTCCTTTCAGTAATTATTTCTCTCAACTTCTTTTACATGTGTAAAGTCTTTGTTTACCTGCATTTGAAAGATAGTTATTGTACATTAAAGATAATTTCTCACC